GTTAAGGGAGTAGGCGTAGGCGACTCTCTGACTCGCTTAGTGGAGTAGGCGACGTTACGGTCGGCATATTAGATAGTACCAGGGTAAGTTTCGGTATACGGAACCGTAGCAGGGTACGTTCCAGCAGTACCGGGGACATAGACCCTCTCAGCGTTACTAGCTGAAACACCATTTATTTATTTATAATTGATGGATAAGAGAGTTGGCTAATTATCCGTAGAATGAGTTGATGAGCTAGTTCTAGAGTTTGGTAAAGTTTTGTAAGGTCACACATAATGCATGCCAGGTGTAAACTTGCATTGCTAGCCTTAAGGAATTATTTCATAATTACTGCACAATAGAGAAAATATAGTGAAATATAGTCTCACATAAAAGCAAACAAGTTTATGTTGTTACTCCAGTACCTGAACCCAATTGCATGAGTTTTGCTGATTTACAGGCGAATAATTTTCCGTATGCCATCGGCAATTCGCGATGTATTTTCAAGCATTTGCTACGCCATATTTTTTCTGAACGCAGTTGTGCCGATGCAGCCGATGAGAATGGTTAACGAAAACATACGATGTTTACAATTCTATTTTATTCTCGCGGCTGCTTTGCCCGTCAATTGAAATGCACGTATACGCCGTTTATTGATTTGTAACACAAAGGCCAACGTTGATTTAAGACGAATCCTGCACTCCCCCCCCCCGCACATCAATCAATATGCCGCCAGGCACGGTATACACAGCCACGCTTGTGCTGGCGCTGCGCGCTCTCTCGTGGCTGCTTTCTTCGTCGGCGGCTTTATAATATAAGTGAGGATGTCGTGGTCGGAGGAGTCGTGATAGCCCGCCCTTCACATCGCTAGAACTTGTATCTTGAATCATAGTTTGGGATATATAAGTAAGGAGACCAACATTTGATTAAAGTTCTAGACAATTATTTTTACTCGCCGCAACATGGGGGCGAGTCAGCTTTAGCATTCACGTCGCCGCGAGCCTTGACTGCTTATTTTCACTCGAATTGGCGAGCGGGCGAGTGCAAGCTGCCACGACGGTTAAAACGCTGCCGGGCCTGGCGTGCAGATCGCTACGTGTGTCTAGGCTTAAGCTAGCTGTGGCTGTCACAGGCCGACACGATAACAGCCAAGCATGCAGCTGCGGATGTAAATTTTGCAGCTGTGATTGTCTGAAAAATAATGCTATTACAAATTTTATCAATTGCGATGCAGAATTTATTTTGTATAGCACATTTGCATATGCAAAATTTTTGGCGTGGAAATTGTTCGCCTGTGTTATGTATATAAATAGCAATAATGCTGCCACATTTTTTCGTATAGCGATAAATCGCTTGAAATCGCCAACTGCCAGACAAAAGAGCATCTCATTGAGTGACATAGTGGTGCTAGACCAGAGGTTCTTAACCTGTGGTCTATTGATTTCTTTGGGGGTCTATGGATGGGTTTCAGGGGGTCCGTGAATCACATTGTATGCACAATTTTAGGTTTATGTGTTCATGTGCGATTTTACTGGGAGGGGTCCGTAGCTTTTTACCAGAATTCCTCAAGGCGTGCGGCATGACTCAAAAAAAGGTAAGAACACTGTTCTTAGATACAATGTACAACTCTCTTTTGCGCTATGTTTGTAAAACTAGCAGAGATGGGTTCTCGCGAGTAACAAGAGGCATCATCAAATAACCGCGTCAACACTGAACGAGGCCAAAACAAAATATAGGTGTGGTTACGGTTTCCTGACCGACCTATTTATAATTCACGCGACACTAAACATTTTATTGTCAATTTTCATTTAAAGTAAAAATATTAAAAATTTAATTTAAATTTAAAAAAATATATGAATTGGGACGTCACTGCTTCAAAGGCACGAACGACATCCTCGGAGATGGTTGTATATAACCATATTTCAAGAAATAAATGTTTTCCGCTACCTAACCCTATATTTTTTCGGCATGTAACGTTTAACCACTATATTTTGTTTTTGGCCTGATTAATGGAACTAAGGATTAATCGCAAATAACTGTCACACTATCACAGGAGTGGCTTAATTTAACACATTATTATAATTATATTATATAGACTATATTATCTATATATGATATTAGATATTATGCAAGAGTGGATAATAGAGATCTCTATTTATCACTTTGATATTATCTATATGATATCATGATATATTTGACTATGTATTAGACTATCGATATTATGACACTTCTGCTATCACTAAGTATTTGGTTTTTTTGGAAGCTTTCTGTAATAGTGTGAATTGTTGACGAGTTGTGTGACAATGTATGACAATGTATAACAATGTATAGCAAGTTGACACTGCCCCCTGTGAGAGTCGGGCCTATTTAATTAACTGTTAATTAAATATTCAGTAATTAATCCGCAAGGATGCTGAATCTTTACAGTATGTCTACGGATGCCAAGAGCCATATACAGTTAGTAACATCCAATTTGTAGCTCACAATACACCACCTAGCGTTCATCTGTATGGCGAATATATCTACTCTCGCAAATTTATGAAAGTAGAGAATTAAAACACATTTATATTTTTTCAAGATTATAAAAAAAGCCTCGTTAAAAAGGACGCTACGTGCGACGCTAGATGCAATTTAAGTATAGTGCATTTTGAGGTATTGTGCAACTTAAAAGGCATTATGGAATATTCAAGGTTATCACGAAAATTAGGTGGTGCAATCTGCGTTTTCCGCAACGTCAGCAGGATATGACACGACGTGGCGGGAAATTACCCATCTGTTATGACGTGGCAGACGCATTAGGAATGTACACAAACACACACGCACGCACGCACACACACACACTTCTCTCGTATCTTTCAAAATTTTCGCCTCTCTGTAATTGTGTTACCAGAAGCGCTTTGAAAAGCGACGGGAGCGAATCGCTCGCCGGCTCCGTGTATTTTTTTCGCTGGTGTAATTGTTGTTCTGCGTGTCGTGTGTGTTGTGTATGTGTTGTGTGTGCGTGTGTGTATTGGTGTGTGCGTGGTGTGTGTGTGTGTGTGTGTGTGTT